AAAACCTAACCCCTTAAACCTCCTCATACTTCTCAAAAGGGAGAGTGGTATTTCAAGATGAAGACATCAGTGGAAAGTTTTAGATTTCACTTCCAATTATCTCCTGGCCATTTCCCCAGCTGATGTCACAGAGCCAGAGAGCGCGCTGCAGCCACTGGAAAAATCTGCCCAGAAGTATTTCCGTCAGTCAATAATGACACCATAGTCACTCTCTGTTTGTGACTTTGCTCTTTAAAACAAAAGAGCGAACAACGTGATTTCATTTTCAACGTTTCACAAGTAGCTCTTCCATTTTAGTGAGCTACTGAGGTTGGCTATCTTTGAATCACGACTTTTGTGCGAATTTATACAGCAATATATATTTCTAATTTATATTTTATAAGATCACATTTTTGATTTGTGTTTTCTTTTATAGTTGATTTATTGAGAGAGAGAGAGAGAGAGAGAGAGAGAGCGAGCGCGCGCAGGGGAGGGGCGGAGAGAGAGGGAGAGAGAGAGAATCCCAAGCAGACTCCACGCTGTCCGCACAGAGCCCCATGAGGGGCTTGGACTTGTGAGATCGGACTTGAACCATGAGATCATGACCTGAGCCGAAACCAAGAGTCAGATGCTTCGCCGAATGAGCCACCCAGGCACCCCTCGTTTAATTAGCGTTTTCTAAAGGGTTTATAACATTTTGGTTTTTGAAATATCTTTTAAAATCAATTTCGTAAAATATTTGTGCACCCTAGGGGTGCCTGGCTTAGTGGAGAATGAGACTCTTGATCTCAGGGCTGCGAATTCAAGCCTCACTTTGGATGTGGAGATTACTTAAATAAAACTTAAAAAAAATAGGTATACATTCTAAACACCTTAAAAGTTAAACGCTGGGTTTAATAGATTTGGGGAAACTATGAAATAAAAATCTAAATGTCAGAACTGACATTTTGTTCCGGGATTGTGATCTCTATCTGAAATTGTTGTTTAATTAATTAATTTAAAAATTGAAGCATAGGGGCGCCTGGGTGGATCAGTCGGTTGAGCGGCCGACTTTGGCTCAGGTCATGATCTCGCGGTCCGTGAGTTCGAGCCCTGCGTCGGGCTCTGTGCTGACAGCTCGGAGCCTGGAACCTGTTTCGGATTCTGTGTCTCCCTCTCTCTGACCCTCCCCCGTTCATGCTCTGTCTCTCTCTGTCTCAAAAATAAATAAACGTTAAAAAAAATTAAAAAAAAGAAGAAAAAAAATAAAAAATAAAAAAATAAAAATTGAAGTATAATTAGCAGACTACTTGAAATTAACCGGAGCAAAGGGAGACCCACCTCCGCGGTACAGCCGACCTGCCAGAATCTTTGAGAACGGACCTGCCCTCGCCTCCTTACCCTGAATGCGTGTGTAATCACATCTGTTTGCACAGCTCTGTGTGGCTACTGAACGCCGTTCAACTGTACCCTCTAAACGGGCAAACTTGACCTAGACGAAACGGTTGACAAAGCAACTGACTATCGGTAATTTCACATGGTTCAACTTAACCTGTGCCTGGCCCTGTACTGAGCAGGCGACATGTGCTCTTGTGAAGCGGAATCGGGTATTTATTCTCCCATTTTCCGGGTACAACACCACTGTCTAGCCCCATCTGTCTGTCCTCACCCGAGGGAATGACCTTTGGGGCCGCACACAGCGAAGAGATGGGCCCCGTGATTTGGAGACGCTCATCCACAGGGATGAGATCTGTCCTCTGCCCTTTGCCGGGCATCCACGGCCCGAGAGCTCGGCAGGCGACAGAAAAGCTGGGAGGGCACCCTCGGAGCTGGCAGGAAAGAGCCCTGGGAACCCTCATTCTTGC